TCCATTTTGGTGAAACAGATAAAATTTTATTACCAGGTAAGTGATCCTTTTTTTAATCTGATATTTTAATAACTACTTACATTTTTGTGTAACTTAGTATCAATCATCTAACAAATATGAAATATTTATGCCAGGTCCTGGTCTGTTTGCTGGAGATAGAGTAGAAAATAAAAAGCTCTTATGAATATTAAAGATACAAGCAAGCACATCATAATTATCTGATAATTACAAATGATTACTGTATTTTACCTATTTTTAAAAACAATTCCCAGTTTCCTGAGAATTTGCATAGTGTAATAGTTTGTTGTTAGCCTACTTGAATTATGCCTTTGAAAAGTATAGTTTTATTGCCTTTTTAAAAAAACCCAAGTTGGATGCATATTTCAGTTTTTAAGCATGAACATTCTTAAGGCTATAAATGTACCTCTAAGAATTGTTGTAGCTATACTGCACAAATTTTGGTATGACACATTTTTAAATAGGCTTATTTCTATACTTTCTAATTGCCACTATGATTTATTTCTGAGTTATTCAGAAGCATGCTATTAAATTTCCAAACATAATTTTCAAGTAATATTCTTTTGTTTTCATTTTTGGTCAAAGAATGTGGTTTATATAATACTGATTCTTTGACATTTGTTAATAATTGCTTAGCTTGGCGTAATATGTTGTTAGTTTTTATTAAAGTTCCATGTGCACTTGAAAAAGATATGAATTTTCCAATTGTTTGAGTGCAGAGTTAGAAAAGTCTTGTTTGTTAATTGTATTGTTCAGATCTTTTGCAGCTTTATTAATTTGTCTCTTGAGCTGTCAGTTATTGAGAAAGATGAGTTGAAATATCCCATTATGATGATGGATTTATCAGGTTTTCCTTTATACACTTTGAAGCTATGGATGTAAATAAATTTAGAATTGTTAAATCTTTCTGAAGAATTGGATCATTTATTAGCAATTGTTTATACATTTTTTCTTTGTACTGGTTTAATATTTTTTCACTATTTCTGTTTTCTTGGAGGCCACTGTCAATATTATGCCTTTCATATTTAATGTAGTAAAGGCTGAATTTAATCAGTATCTTTACCGTTTTATGGAATAGTACTATGACCTGAGAATGGTTTAATTCTAGTCATTCTTTTTTATGACTTTTAACCTCTTCTTGTCTTGTATTTTAGTTCTTTTTTTTTTAACCCTATAAGTTAGACATTGAAAGTACTATGAAATAAACAAAACTAGTTGGGTTGGGTGCTGTGGCTTGTACCTGTACTCCCTGCAACTCAGGAGGCTGAGGCAGGAGGATTGCTTGAGCCCAGGAATTTGAGGCTGCAGTCAGCTACGATCACACCACTGCATGCCAGCGTGGGTGACAGAGTGAGGCCCCTGTCACAAACAATAAACAAAAAAATAAAAAATAAT